CATTATTAAAGACTTCGATACAAAAATGAAAATTTGTGAATTGGCAAAGAAGTTTGATCTACCGGAATCGACAGTCAGAACAATTATAAAAGGTAAAGAAAAAATTCTCAAAGCTGTAAAAAATGCTCAATCTTTAAATTCAAGCATCATTCATAAACATCACGGTATTATCTCTGAGATGGAAACAATGTTAAAATTATGGTGTGATAATCAAGTAAATGTGAAAAATTGTATAATAATATAATTTGTTATACATATGTATTATCTAAGATTTTATTAAACATTTTTTTCTAAATTATTGTTTTCTTTAGTCTCTGGCCCCAATTAAAAATTATTTGATGTATTTATATGCGAAATTATACTCCGACTTGCACGAATTCGACTTACACAGTTATCACTCAGTCCCACCTATCGCGTAAGTTCGGGGTATTACTGTATTCTATATGGAGAAAATTCCTTTTACATTTAAATTATCTGAAAAATATTTTTTTCATAAAATTTAAAGAAAAATTATTCAAAATTTCCAATTTTAATAAAATTATCATAAATTATGAAATATTTCCACTAACAAGAAAAAATACACTAGAGTTTCCTAAGAATTGTTAGGAAACTAATATTTTTTCATTCAAATAAAATAATAACAAAGGCTAGTTGATTTTAATGTAAGTTATTATTTTTCTTAAAATTTAAATTTATAAATTTATTTACTAAGCACCATAATCTAAAATTAATTTACATTTTTACGTATTAAACAATATTACTATTAATTTCATTTTTAGATATCAAAATACAGGTAGAAGGAAATCTATTTTTCCTGAGAATTCTGCAGAGCTAAATCATTCAGTTGAAGAAGACAATGGAGAAGGAATAGAAAGAACAAATAATGGAAATATTCAATTAGACAGGTATATTATATGAATTCAGCAATATTAACTGGCTTAATCAGTTACTTATCTAACCACCTAAAAGGGGTTTTTTGGACTAATAAACAAATTGTTATATCCTTCTAATCGGGCTTTTTACTGGAGTTCAACAATTACTCAGATACCCTTAGTGAAATTGTAGAGTGGTGTTAGATGATTACAAATACTTGGCATGGGCTTTGTCATAGATCGTACCTATTGGTATTTGCATAAATATTACTGAGTAGGGATTGGCAGAAATGTTAGATTCAAAATGCATATAAATAAAACATCTGGAAATTAAAATAGCATCTGAGTAATTCTTGAACTCCAGTAAAAAGTCTGATTAGAAGGACATAACAATTTGTTTATTAGTCCAAAAAGCCCTTTTTAGGTGGTTAGATAAGTATGATTTTCAAAAATTTAATCTGTTAATATTATATTGAAAAATATACTTAATTCTGTTCAAATGTAATCTCACAGATTTAAAAAATAGTAATCCAACAGAAATTGTGAATATTTTCTAAGGCATATTGTAATAAAAAAGTTTAAGATTTAACAAACTAATCCCAATCATGTTAGTTAATTAAGAAGTTTTCCATCATATCAATTTATCAGCATTAATTTTGGTTTTCCAGGAATTTTAATACAGTTGACTCTATCTTGAATCTCATAGGAACGAGAAAAAATTTGACATTAACAGGTTTCGAGATATAGAGGTTTCTACACAGTAAACAGTAATAGGTTTGATTGGTGGTACAGTATTTTATTAATAGAATAGCAAGTTCACCTGTATTAAGTATAAATAAAACATTTTTAACATACTTTAACAGAAATAGTTTGCCAGTAGTTTTTGAAGCCCTTTTGCACTATTGAAAAAATTTTCTGTTTTAAAACAAATCACAATTGATGAGGATTACTATAATTTTCAAAATTTATTCCAAATAATTTTAAGATTTAAACTTATTTAAAANAGAGATGTTTGGGTTTGCAATAGTGATGGTTATGTTGGACAAGTATGTGTGCTTAGTCTCCAACCTGATCCAACAGTGACATCATGTAATGGAGTATGTATACATATAAACAACCAAGCTCAAATATTCTATAATAATCTCATTAATTCCAGATTATTTGGACTATAGTTCAGCTAACTATTAATAATTAATGTAAAATAATTCTATTTAATAATTATTAAATTTATTTCAAAATAATAATTAACAAAATCAAAACTAAAGATGAAATGACCATTTTGCTTTATTTTTTAAACTCTAATTTAGAAATCTATTTTACATTAATTACACTAATATTTGTAAAAAATTTCAAATATTAAATAACTTTCAAATTCACCTCTTTGCTGGTTGGCCACTCCTTAATTCAATTGCAGGTGTTTATGAATTTTTCCAATTATATAAATTAAGTGTAGAAATAAATAAATAGTTACAAAGCAAAAACAAATAAATGCTAATTTTCTTTGTCTAGTAATAATAATAAAATTATTATTTATAGACAAAGGACTATTATTATTAACTCAAATAAATTATGAAAATAATTTTATTATTGATATTAAAATTATTTTGTTTAATTTGTCCAAATGCTGTAACCTTTTAAACATGATTTCATTAAGAGTTTTGCTTGTTTTAATATTTTAATATTGTAATGCATAATCAATTATTTTAATATTTATTCAAATCATTAATGTTCTCTTGTTTTAATATTTGTATTTGTAATGTTTTAATATACTCATGATTGGAATTTAAAATGGCATATAATCCACTGCATCACCTTTCAAACACAGATCCATAGGTCATCTACATGAAATTATGGTATATTACATTAAACAGATTACAATGATTAGAAAATAAGATTTGACATTCAAATATTATGTATATTGGCTCTTTTACGACCTATGCCTTCATAAAGGTCGTACTTTTCCTTTGTTTAAGGGTATTTGGGCAGTTTATTCTCTGTTGTATTCTCAAGCAAACAATACATACAAGTACAGTACAATATTTTCTGAGGAAACACGCATACTTATCCTTTTTTAACCCCATTCCCGATAACCCGGCATTTTCACAAACTCGGCCACCCTTCGGTCCACATTAGGCTGAGTTTTCGAGG